CCCTCTATGAGGTGGATTGATTCGGTGACTGGGGTAATTGGGATGGGTGTGTCAGAGGCAGTGGTTTTGGTGCAGGGTAGAGTGGGGGTTTAGGGCTGTTTTGCATAGGGTTGCTATGAGTCGCAAACGACTCAATGGCACATAACAACAACAACAGGAAGTGGACAAATTCCTTGAAACTCATGCCCTACCAAGACTGACCCAGACACATATAGAACACTGGACCAGACTGATCACAAAAGAAGAAATTGCATAGGTCATAACAAGACATCCCCGTAAAAAAAGTCCTGGATCACCTGTACTCTACCAAACATTTAGAAAAGATCTATCATCAATTCTACTTCAAATTATTTCAAAATTATTATTTTAAAAACGTGAAAATGAAGGGACACTCCCAGAGACATTCCATGAAGCAAAGATAACTCTAATACCAAAACCAGGAAAAGAAAACTACAGACCAGTATCTCTCACGAATATAGATGCAAAAAATCCTTAAAATCCTAGTCAACAGAATCCAAAGCACATCAGAAAAATAATTCATCATGACCAAGTGGGATTCATAACAGGTATGAAAGGATGGTTCAACATAAGAAAAAGAATGAATGTCATTCACCACATTAATAAAGCAAATAGCAAGAAGTATATGATTTTATCAATTGATGCAGAAAAGGTATTTGACAAAATCCAGCACTCTTTCCTGAAAAAGGCGTTCAGCAAAATTGGAATAGAAGGGAATTTCCTCAACATCGTGAAAAGTATATATGTAAAACCAAGAGCCAATATCATTCTCAAGGGAGAAAGACTAAAAGCATTTTCCTTGTCAACAGGGGCCAGACAAGGATGCTCACTGTGACCACTTCTCTTCAACATTGCGTGGGAAGTGCTTGTTAGGGCAATATGACAAGAGAAGAAAGAAAGCATCCATATCAGCAAAGGGATGTTGTTATATACAGATAATAATAGAATAATGTGCACAGAAAACCCCAAGGACTCAACAAAAAAACCTGCTAGAGCTAGTAGGCCCATTTAATAAAGTGGCAGGATATAAGATCAATATCCAAAAACCAGTGGGATTCCTACAGAAAACTGAGAGAAGGAAACCAAGAAATCAATACCATTTACAACAGCCAATCATGAATTGAGACACTTCAGAGTGAATCTAAGTAGAGACACAAAAGACTCGTACAAAGAAAATACAGAATATTTCTGCACGACACAAAAAATACCTAAATAAATGGGAAAATATATTCTGTTCATGGATAGGAAGACTCAATATTGTGAAAATGACAATCCTACAAAACCCTACATTTTTAATTCAATCTCAATACAGATACCAAATTCATTCTTAAAGGAGATCACAAGTGAAATTGTCAAGTTAATTTGGAGAAGAGTCCCCAAATAAGCAAAGCTTATTTTTGTTATTTTGTTCTGAAAAACAAAAATTAAGTGGGAGACATAGCACTCCCTGACTTCAAAAACCTACCATACAGCAGCAGTAACCAAAACAGCATGTTACTGGTACAACTGAAAAGAACTGAGAACCCAGAAATGGACCTAACTATCTGTGGTCAACTGATATTCTACAAGGAAATTAAAGCTTTCAAATGCGGAAATGACAAAATCTTCAACAAATGGTGCTGGGAAAACTGGACTGAAACCTGCAGAAAGCTGAAACAGGATCTACAATTCACACCATATATAAAAATCAATTCAAGGTGCACCAGAGACCTGGAAGTAAAGCCCAAAATCACACAGTTCTTCAGAGACAAACAGATCAAGCATACACAGCCTAGTCTATGTTATAAAGAAAATTACAAATACAGCCAGAAATGCCCAATCTGGAGAAGATAAAACTGATGAATGGGAACTTCTAAAGATTAAAACCTTGTGTGCACAAAAAATATTTTCTATCAGAGTTAAAAGAAAACCTACTGCTTGGGGAAAAAACATTTGGCAATACCATTTCAGGCGTCTCATAGCCGAATCCTACAGGGCCTCCACAAGAAAAAGACTGAGAGCACAATTACAAAATGAGCAACAGACACGGAAAGACTTTTCACAGAGGAAGATATTTAGATGGCGAACAGACACATGAAGAAATGCTCAAAATCAATAGCAACAAGAGAGATGCAAATCAAAGCCACAATAAGATATCATCTCACTCTAGTAGTTTATCAAAATTTAAAATGACAGCAATTAATAAATGTTGGAGAGGACATGGCTAGATAGGAACTTTATTATACACTGTTGGTGGGATTGTAAAATGGTACAAGCACTCTGGAAAGCAGTTTGGTATTTCTTCAGAAAGCTAAACATACAAATTCCATTATGACCCAGCTATTCCACTGCTTGGAATATATGTCAAGAGAATAACTGAGGCACAAATGGACACTTGTACACCAATGTTCACAACGGCAGTATTCATCATTGTAAGAACATGGAAACTGCCCAAATGTCCTCCCACTACTGAATGGATTGAGAAATTATGGTATATTCACACGATGGAATAGTAAAGAGCACGCAGAAACAATGATTGTGTAAATCACTACCTAACGTGGGAGAGACTAGAGAGCGTTATGCTGACTGAACTCATTCAGTCCCATAGACAGTGCATAAGACCGTTACTGCAGAACATGTATGAGCATCCGGTGGTGGAAGCAGAGGTGAAAGGAAAGGCAGTGGCATTGTGGGTGGTGGTGGTTAATCACAGGGTTGCACAATCTGTTTGGTGGAGGGAGAGGTGGGTAAAGGGAATGGGAAAGGTCTTTTGAGGAAAACAAAATATATAAACTTGGTAAGTAAACAAATATAAAATAAAAATGTTATTTTTTAAAAAAAAACCCCTAAAACAAAACCAGTAAAAATTCTAAAAAAAACCCCAAACAACAAACCCAATCAAACCAATCATAATGGCCACTAGCAACTTAACCAATTAATTGCCCTATGCATCAAATAAGGATTGTTGGAAACAACCAGACATTCCATATACGCAGATAGGGCAAGAAATCCTCAAGGAGAGGAGGTAACTGAGGATAAAATGCACTTCCATTTTCAGGGTTAATCACCTTCTTCAATGCACACTCGCAGCTGTCTCTCCCTCCAGCCAACCCTGCAGGGGGTTCTCGAACGCTCTAGGTCTTCCAGAAGATTGCTGCTCTTCCCCTGCAGAGCCACTGGGGGATTTCTTCTGCCAAGGACACACCAACATTGTATTAGCAGCACCACTGCCTATACTTAAAGCCACCAGGGCTCCCTAGCCCTTCTCTTACTGTACATATAAATGAAATAAAATGCTACCATTTTTCCTTTTCAACCTGTTTGTGTAGGAGCTTTTTGGATAGACAACTGCACTGCAATCCGCAGGGAGAAGGTTCAAATCCATTTGCACATGCCTGGGAGAAAGACCAGCAGTCCCCTCCTGTGTGGTTGACGGCCTCTACAACGTGCTAGCGGGTCAGCTGGGAGTCTGCTTTGACTCAATGGCCATTAGTTTTGTTTGTTTACTGTATATGTAGACATTATTTGTGGCACACAGAAATACTTATGTTAATCTGAATTATTCAAGTGAAAGAAGTCCACAATCTTTCAAAGAAGATTCAAAACGTTTGCAATCAGAAGTTGGCCATGGTGAACCCAATCTCAGACCACAAGACACTTCGCATTGCCACCACACAACTTCAGTATGGCAGCATCATGGACAATCTTCTCCCGTGTGATTCACTGCCTCTGAAAACCTGGAGGGTCAGCTATGGGTTGGTTCTGACTTGTCGGTATTCAGCAGCAACACCACTACTGAGACTTTTGTATAAACTGTACAATCTCCCATTCAAATGTCAGCTCAAGGAGGTGAAGGGGCATAGCTTACCACATCCCTGAAGACAACGGCACGAAGGCGGTTGATGTCCACATCCTGAAGCAGGCGATCTGGGTCTTTGATAGGAGACAGGTTCCCTGGAACACTTTCCAGTGGAGTCTTCAAAAGAAAGACAATTGTGAAATTAAGGATTTCAGAAGCAACACAGACTTGTTATCACCACACAGCCTTCACCTCACTGGCCTGCATGTCCCCGTCCCAGGAAGCACAGGCCACTGGACAGGAACCCACCAGGAAGCATCAGCTCTCCCGGGCTCATTTGCATTACCCGGGCTCCCTTCCTGGCCCCTTGGTCTTCATGAACACAGCACATGATGGACACACTAAGGCAGGACTTTCATCTCAGCTGTGTGACCCTGGGTTTAGTCACCTCTCTTAGCTCTGAGTTCACTTTTCCAACTAGTATTTATAATAGATGAGACTACTATTAATGATGGTATAGGGGCTTCCAAACATGTAAACACGTTCCCAGCTCTGGAAAGACCAAGGGTCAGCACGAGCTCACAGGGACTACATGGTGTGATTTGGTTTGGATGTGACAACACAAGCCTTCTGACATGCCTAGGAAGCAGAAGCTCTAAGTGTCCTCCTTTTGAACCCAGAGTTCCATTCTCGGAGTGCTTATCTTAGAAACATAATCATTAAGTGGGGAAGCCAGCAACAGAACTGGGTACAGACTGATTCCTGTGAAACCATCGTGTTGTTCTCATACGTTTAAAAAATAAAAATCTTCTTCAAAGCTAAAGTGACTCAAATGATCATCAGCAGATGCGTGTATAAACACAATGTTGGGCACATAAACGGTGGACTAATTCCAGCCATAAAAAGAAACCATCCTGAGACTTCCACCCCCAGGGCTGAAGCTGGAAACCAGGCTGCAGACGAAGGGCAGCCAGCAGCGCCAGGGTGGGAGGCTCTGCTCAACGTCACCAGCCACACGTTATCAAAGGGCTGGCGTGTGCGCCACAGACGGGAGCGGAAGGAGAGAAGTTCTTACACTGACGGGGCTACCAACGTCACAAAAGAACATGCAATGATCACTGAGGAGAACACTTGTTCTGCACTGAAAACTTTCATCCAGATGACAATAAAAACATAAGAAGAGGGGAAAGTAAATGAGTGGTTCCTAGGGACTGATGCTGAGGCAAACAGGAGGTTAAGGAAGAGAGAGCCAGAGGCTGTCTTAGAGGAGGGAGGAAAGCAAACAGTGGAGATGGTGATACAGCACTGTGATGACAGCTGATGACGTCAGGTCTCACACATTTCAGCCTACGAGGAAAGCAGGTACGTGAGCACCCCCCAGGCACTTCCCTACCTTGGGCACGGTGGTGGCACTGGCACCCTGGGGGGTTTCCGGTGGCTTGCTGAGCCCCGGGCAGGGTCTGCTGCCCCTGTCTCTCTGTCTCTGTCGGCACTCTAAGCAGTTTCTCACAGCAACACAACACACTGTTCAGAAAATGAAAAGTATGGTGTTATTAGCGCACACTGTTGACTGTGGTGTGAGGAAAAATTCATGATTAGCTTCTTTCTTTTTCTCCTGAGGGAGTCTGGTAGTGTTGTACTGTGCATGTCAGCGTGCTAACAGAAAGTCTAGTGCTCTCATCCGCCAGTGGCTCTGCACTTTCCCCCAAAACGATTCACAACCTTGAACCCTGACGGGCACCACAATCACAGCTGACAAAATGGGAGTGGGCTTTGCATGTGGAGCCACACTATCAGGGCCCTCCATGGCACTATGTAAGGGGCTCTGGTTATACTGTGGATAGAAAAGTCAGTAGTTCGAATCTATAAGCAGCTCCATGGCAGATAGATAGATAGTTTTCTCCCATTAAGATTTACGGCTCATAAACCCAATGGAGGTTCGCAGTGAGTTAGAATGAACTCAAAGGCAGTGGATTGATGGTGCTGTCTACTCAGCATTGGAATGAAAGCTACCCAAAAGGCTGGGAGTGTGAGCACCACAGTCGCTTCACCCGAGAAAGATGGGCACCCCACCCATAAAGTAGTGCTTGATCGGAAACCCCAAGGGGCAGTATGATTCCAGAGTTCCTAGGAGCTGGAACCAGACCAGCAGTGGGTGGAACCAACGTATCTCATTAAGCCAATACAATGCTGAAATAAAGTAATAAAAAGTATATGACACATATAAGTAGTTTAAAAATTAAAACAACATACCATGTATGTCCCAGTCAGCCAGAAAAACAGAACTGTAAATCCCTGCACCCCTAACTTCCAACTTGATGACTCACCGTTTTCCATAATCTATTATTTGATCAAAACAATAATAAGGCAGCTCTGTCTATAGTTTAACTATGGGAGAGGCAGGAGCTGATCCTAGACCAGGCAATGATGCAGTGCCAAAGGCAGATGGAGCCTCCTGGAGCCAGCATGCACGTCTGCATGGGAGGAGAGGCCTTCAGTAGCAACAGTCGAGAAAAACAGCTTGTCTTTTGGTTCTGATGTTAGGAATTGGTAGAGCTGTAACCAGCATAGTAACTGGATTCAATCTGCCTGCACTTACATGGTGGTGTGGTTATTTATCAACTGTGTGATTTAGTATATGCTGCTTCAACTACCTGAGCTCCCATACCCTCTGATGGAAAGTGAGGGTAAGCAACAACTTCCTTAAAGAGTTGTTGTTGTTGTTGTTAGGTGTCACTCAGTGGAGTATGACTCACACTGACCCCGTGAGCAGCAGAACTGAGCCCCGTCCTGTCCTGCGCCATCCTCACACTTCCGGACACACTAGAGCCCACTGCAGGAGTCATCGCTTCAATGCACCTGGTAAAGAGTCTTCCACTCCTTTGCCGACTCTCCACTCTTTCAAGCATCATATCCCTCTCCACGGAATAGCCCCTCTTAAAAATATGTCCAAAGTATGTGAGGAAAAGCCTCATCATCCTTACCCCGAGACAGCACTACAGCTGTACTCTATCCAAAACATATTTGTTTGTTCTCTTGGCCATCCACGGGTTGCTCAGTACTCTTCTTCTTTTTTTTGTGTGTGAATTTTTTAAATTATTAATTTTAATGAAAGTTTACAGAGACTTTGGATTTCCATTTATTCATCATTGTCAGTGCTCTTCTTAAACACCACAGCTCAAAGGCATCAATTCTTCTGTCATCCTTTATCATTGTCCAGCTCTCAGATGTGCAGCAAGAGATCACAAAAACCATGGCCTGAATCAGATGCACCTTAGTCCTTCAACTGACATCATTACTCCTCAGTGATGTGGAGAGTACCTAACTGCAGACTTTCCCAATGGACTAAGTCTCCTTACTTCCTGACTGCTGGTACAAGGGTGGTAATTATAGATCCAAGCAAGATGAAGTTAAAGAGTTAGAGAGAAGATCAAATGAGCTGGCATGTATAATAGCTTAGAACACAAAAGTACTCGTAACAGGCACCACCATATTTTTGTGCAAATAGACTTTGATAAACAGTTTGGGTTGTTTTTTCGGGGTGGGGAAGAGGTGATCTATACAACTCCTTCCTTTGTTAGGTCTCTATTCATGCTGGACATAGTGTGTGTGTGTGTGTGTGTGTGTGTGTGTGTGTGTGATATAAATGGCTACGTTTTATGTGCAAAAATCCAATAGTACTTCAATGTTTACTTCATCTTTTTTCAGTGTCAAGATTATTACCATTATATTATTGTCCAGGCTCGGGACAAACACTGGCATCTTTTTCTCACAAAGTTCAATGTATCATTTATTATTCATTATCAATGGTCTATAATTATCTATATATTAGGAGGACCTATGAATTCACTTACACCAGCATTACCAGAAAGATCACCAACCAGCAACTATTCTGTTCATAATATTGAATTATTCCATTCACACTGCTCCTCTTTTTAAAAATACAAATGTCTTTCCAATATCCTTGAAGCCAGTCCGTCTGCCTTGCTTTAATCAGAACGGGATTCTACCCTACAACCTTATCCCCTTAGATCTGCCAGAACTTCTTCCCCAGCACATGCCCTAGGTTCCTAGGTTCTGCTCAGAGCTTTGGGCATGTGTGGGCCTGGTGCCTTTGTGGTCCTTGTGGAAGTGAGAGAATGGAATGCTCCCTTAAAGGAAAGCAAAAAGTGCAAACGGTTCCTGCCCAGAAAGCAGGCTCAGATTTACTTAAGGTGCTAACTTTTCTTCACATCACAAGTTAGAGAGTTCACAGCTACAGTCATGCTTATCAGGGATCGTTGTTCAGTCTGAAAACAGCATCCACTGGATTCTGCAAGTACCATGTACAGAAAATGACATAATTAGTACCTTGAGAACTCCCCTCACAGCTCTGTTACCTCTATACACAAAGAGCACGTAGTAACAACTCCTCACATGCTGGTTTCCAAAGTATACTGTATATATGCGTGTTACTTGCAAGACCATGCTACATTTGAAAACACAGGAATTAGGCCAATATAATGTACATAAACAGATTTACATTAAAATCAACTACTGAAAAATGAAACAGCTTTTTTTTTCTTTTGCCAAGAATTAAAAATGCATTTGAGGCGTGGCAGAAAGATGCACTGTGCCCACAGTATTTGAGTAAAACATTGCTCTCTAGATACACCACGTAGGACCCCTTCCACTAAAGCAGAAGGGACCAGGACAGCTGAAGCGAGGTGAAGAGGACAGTTTTGGAAGAGAAAAACAGGCTTCCTGGTTTGCCATCCAGGTACAATGGGGGAAACACAGTTGTCAGGGCAAGAAGGTAGCACAAAAAGGTGCTTTACAAAACATTGCCATACTCTGCGTCACTATGCAGTTATAATAAATAACATATACTAGGAAAAGACTCACAGAATGCCAAGAAAGAAGCAATCTGCTTCAATCATCATGAAAAAAACAAAATAATCTTGAATAATGAAAAAACAGGGAAGAAGGATCAGTGGCTAGAAAATATGGATTTGATGACAGAAATGAGGATGGAGATAGAATGATAGAATTCTGCATATATAATAATTTATTAATTCCAAATGAATACTTTTTATAAGAAACACAAATGCAGGCCATGCACAGGAATTTCACCTGATGGTATGCATGGGAATCAAATTAATTACATCTGTGGAAAGACTCACCAAAGAAGCTAAATATCAGCTGTGAAAACTAAGCCAGGTGTTACTGTGGAAAAGACCACCAACTACTCATATGCAAGCTCAAGCTGAAGTTGAAGAAAATAAAACTAAATCCACAGGAACCAAAATTTAACCTCAAGGCTATCCCACTCGAATTTCAAAACCATCTCAGGAATAGGTTTGAGGGTTTGAACACCAATGAGCAAAGATCAAATGAGATGTGAGAGTATATAAAGAATAACATCCATGAAGAATGGAAAAGATCATTACAAACGCAGAAGAGGAAGACCAAGAAGGATGTCAGATGAAACCAAGAATATTGCTTTAGATTGCCAAGAAGCCAAAGCTAAAGGAAGAAATCAAGAAATTAAAGAGCTGAACAGAAAACTTCAAAGGGCAGCTCGGGATGACAAAGCAAGGTATTATAATGAACTGTGCAAACAGCTGGAGTCAGAAAATCAAAAGAGCGAACTCGTTCAGCATTTCTTAAGCTGAAGGAGTTGAAGAACAAATTCAAGCCACGAGTGGCAATACTTGAGGATGCTTTGGGCAGAATGTTAAATGATCCAAGAAGCATTAAAAGAAAATGGAAGAAGTATAGAATTACTGTACCAGAAGGAATTGGCTGACACAGAAGAATTTCATGAAATAATGTATGAGCAAAAGCCTATGGTGATAAAGGAGGAAGCTCAAGTTCCTCTGAAAGAATTGGCAAAAAGACAAGGCTCCAGGAGTTGACGGCATACCAACTGACATATTATAGCAAAGAGAAGATGCTGTCCTGAATGTGCTCACTAAGCTGTGCCAAGAAATCTGGAGGACAGCCAGCTGGCCAACTGACTGAAAGAGATCAGTATTTATTGCTAATCCAAAGAAAGGTAACCTGACAAAGGAAATTATCACGCAATATCATTACCATCACATGAAAGCAAGCAAGCTGAAAAGTATCCAAAAATGACTGGCGCAACACAGAGAATAAGTAAAACAGAAGACTGAATTCACACCACTGATCTGCTAGAGCAAAAAGCAGAATCAAAAAAGGAAGGAAAAAGAAGAAATCCTAAGAATAATGTGGAAAACCATCAAGAAAAACAACATGTACATCATGAGAATCCCAGAACAGGAAGAAGTAAAGGCACTGAAAAAGGTGTGGAAGAATTACTAGAGGAAAATTTTCCAGGCATAAGTTCTCAAGAGCAACGGTGTCTCTCTGGAGAATAAGGTGCGCCTGATACAGGCCATGGTCTTTGCAATCACTTGTTATGCATCAGAGAGTTGGACAATGACTAGGGAGGATAGAAGGAGAATTGATGCCTTTGAGCTGTGGTGCTGGAGAAGAGTATTGAATGTACCATGGACTGCCAA